TCTTTGGTCTCTCAGGCTCTTTCCAGAAGCATTCAACTCTAAATCCTCGCTCCCTGGAGGGGCTGAGATGCCCTCTTGCTCTTCACAGGGTCTCCCTCATTTCTGTCCCAGCCAAGAGGACATCTGGATCCAGGAGCTGGCTTCTGCTTGGGGCACAGGTCAGGTCTCATGTCTCCTGGCCTTAGGCCGTGAGCCTCACCCTACCTGCTTGCACTACCGAGTCCCTGTTTCAGGGGTAATGAGGGTCTGCTCTCGGCCCAGCCAGATTGGGTGGTCCCCCTACAGCCCTCAGCCCCAGGGCCACCTGGCCTTTCCTTGGCGGCCAACTAATGAGCTCCCAGCCAGGGCCCTCCTCCATCTGCATCCTCTGCACAGGCATGCAGGGACCCCGAGTTCATTCCCTTCTGGGCCAGAGGGAGAGCCAGGATCTTGGGGGCCACCTTGGCCTCACCTGCTCAGTGGCTCCCCTGCCTGTGAAACTGGCCTCCTCAACCAGGTGGGTTGGCTGCTGGAATTTCTAACATCCCTCTCAGACCCCTGATGCACACACTTGCGAGAGGGTGGGGGGGTCCTTTCCCACGACCCTTCCTGCTCATCCTCGCTCCAGCTGTGGTCACTCATCCCAGTACCAGCAGGCCACTTTCTCTCTAGTGAGGACTGACCCAGGCCATTTCCTCCTTCTTGCTCACCCCATGGGCTTCCTGTTCTAGACAACACGTGCCTGCCTTTCTGGGGGGCAGTGGGACTCCTGGCTTTGCCTGAATGGCAGGAATGCAGGGGAGGACCACTGGCAAATCAGGGGCCACAGGTCACGTACGAAGTGTCATGCATGCTCTGTTATATTCGTCCTTCTGACTGACCTGCAGGGGAATCAGTGAGCTTCCCCCCCAACCCTGCCCCCCCTTCTCTTCCACCTCTTTCTCTTCCCACCCTCCCCATACCCCCTTCCTCGGGCTTGTGACTGAGGGCCAACTCAGCCAACTCTCCTGACTTCTAGGCAATGCACAGGTCTGGCCTGAACCTTTCCCACCTGCCCTCGGGTCTGCTGCAGGCTGAGTGCCTGAATACTCACCTTCAGATGGAGGCCCATCCCTTGAGCACTGACTCAGCTTTCACCACGGACACCTGAGCACTTAGGGCATTCCAGATCAGAGGACAGTGTCATGTAGAGGTCACAAGCCCCAGAGCACAGTTGCCTGGGTTACAATCCTGCTGGCACCACTGACCCAGCATGGCCTCAGTCGGGACCCCTGACTCTGCTGAGACCACAGCCCCATCAGTTAAGTGGGAGTGACCGCAAGAGGGTGGTTATGAGGCCATAGAATATGCTCATCAGCCTCTGGAACACCGTAAGTGCTAAGGAAATGATCATTGCTAAGGTTATGATTTTGGAATGGGTCCCAGTGGGGACACCATGACCCAGAAGACTGAAGAAACTACACTGAGTCTTTCTGCCTAAAACCCCTGGCTGACCTGGAGGCCGTCGCTCCTTCCAGGGGCTCTGGCCCTAGGACCCAAAACATTTCCAATGTTTTCAAAGGGGTAACTCTCCACTTCTGACCAGGGCCACCTCATCTCAGGGCAGGACAAGCTGGCTTTCCTACTGGGAGGGCAGACTTCCTTCACTGCAGTCCATTCAATGGTTCTAAAGCAAAACATATGCCTCTCAGGCTTTGAAGAAAGTCACCTTCATTCTAATTGTGTGTATCCCATTTGCAAGAACAGAATCATAAAGCCGCGCAGTCCTGGCCTCTGTCATCAGCTGTTGCGGGTGCCCCCCCGCCCCCCGGCACAAAGAGGTGGTGACGGGCCCCATGGCAGAGTGAGTGCCATGGGGTGGGCAGCCGTCCATGCTGGTTACCTGCCCAGGTTCTATCTCCCACCTCCCCTTTCTCTTCTCTGGCTTCCAGTTCTATGGCTTCCTCCCTCCTACACTTGCTCCTGCTCCTTGGCAACACCCTCCAGCCCCAGGGCCTCTGCACCGCCTTCCCTTAGTCAAGAGGGCTCTACCCTCTTCTACCCAGCCCTCAGGTGATGCCCCCTGCTGGAAGGGGCCTCTCCGGGACCTCAGGCAGCCCACGGCCCCACTCCACTTGCCCCCCACCCCTGCAGCCCCCAGACCTCTCCTGGAGCGCTGGGTATAATTACAGTGAGTTCTGGATGGCCTGTCCGGCGGGGGCCACATTCCCAAGCACTGACTAAAGCATCCTTGCCCCGCAATTATTTTTTCTCCTTTAAACGAATCGGGCAGCTGAAGTGGTGAGTGGCTACCTCAGGGTGAGTGAGCTTCGATGAGCAAAGAATGAATTCAGCGATTTGTAGCTTTGGAATTTTTTTAAACTGGCCTTTAAAAGTCCCGGTGGCCATCAGTAGAAAAGGAAAGGTTTGGGGAGACTCGGAGCGCAGCACCCTTGCCAGAGCTCCGTGAGGAGCAGATCTAGAATGAGACCCTGCCACGGGCTGGGAGCAGACAGCTGGCAGATGTGAGGGAGGGAGTCCCCGAGAGGGGGCTCTGTGCCCTGGCCTCCCGCCCTACCCCTCCTCATGCCCAGGGCCCTAGAGCTCCCTGCAGTTCACCACTGGCCAGGAGCAGGGGAAGAAAAGGCTGCAGGAGGTGAGCAGGCAAAGGGGCCTCACTGCCCCCAGCAGGGCACAAGCGGGAGCAACTGTCTCCCTCTGATGGAGGCGGCCTGTCCCCCAGATGTGGGGCTCTAAAGCTGACCTCGGGGGACAGGCTAGGCCAGCAGTGCCAGCATCCGTGGGTCCAGTGACCCCAGCATGAGGATGAGGAGGGGATTCCCTTCACCACTGCCATCACTACACGAAATAAAGTGTCCCCACATCCACACCCCCCGCATCTCCACCACACATCCCAGCATGCCTCCCACCCTACGCTTGGGACACTCCCTGGGGAGGAACCAGATGTGGCCAAGAAAAGCCTGATGGGATTAAGTTTCTGTCCTCAGCAGAATGAGGCCCCAAGACAGAAATGAACTAAGTGGCTTTTTTGTTTTGAGGGCACCAGGCTGGCTGTCTGGTTCACTGCTGCAGCCTTGAGCTAGCACCAGCCCCACGAGCAGCAGGTGCTCTGTGGGTCCTCCTCCCAGCCAGAAGGTCAAATCCGGGGACAGTGTGGTTCTCACCAAGCCAGAGGCTGCGATGCCCTGCCAGTCCTGGGCGATGGGATCTCAGGGGTCTCCGCATGACCACCAAGCAGGGGAGGCTCTTACGAGAGGGCGTGAAGGCTCGGTGGGCAGGCCTCTGCTGGCGACTGGGGGGTGGAGGCCACAAGACACAGGCCCAGGAAGAAAGTACGTCGTGCAGGTGGCACGGCCTCCTGGCCCTTAGACAGTGGCCTTGTCCTCAAGTGGGTGGCAACAGAGGGTCTCCGGGGAGCAGCTGCGGAGCCAGCCCTCCAGGGTCTAACCCCTCCCAGAGCTACAGGCTAGCGTCCCCAGGACGCTGCCCTGCTTGGTCAGGTGACGCAACCCCAAATACACTCTTCGTAGGACGGGACCCGCAGAGCCCCCACCCCACCCCCCCGAGGGCTACAGCCACTGAGGTGGGACAGCGCCATGGAAGACCGCCTTTGATCAAGCCGACAGTCCTTCCTTCCTCATCTGGATGACCAAAATGGCCTGAGAGCCACAAAGCCCCGAAGCTCAGCCAGCCCGAGCTTCAGACACTTTTCCCTCACCTTTTCTCCCACTTGACGCCACCCCGTGGGGCAGCCCGAGTGTGCCTGTCACAGGGGCGTCCCAGGAGGCCCCCAGAGATGGGACAACTAGGGGTTCTCTGCAGGGTAGCGATGGGGAGGACAGCAAGTGGAGGGGCGAAGGTCTTCAAGAAAGCCTGGGGAGGTGATGGTAGGTTCAAGTTGCCACTTCCCGGTGGGCGGAAGAGAACAGAAGCCAAAAAGCACAAAAGGAAGGTGACCTCCCCCTGCCCCTTCCCCACACAGCTCCTGGGCTCTCATTAGGAACATGGTATGGGAGAGGAGCAGAGAGTGAGGTACTCTGAACTGGGCAGGGCAGGAGGGGCTGGAGGCCGGGGCGGGGAGGGGGGCATGCACGGCAAGGAGGCACGTGAGGGGGGCACCAGTCAAGCGTGGTGGGCGGCCTACCCAGGGGACCACCATGGCCACCAGCTCCTCCCTCAGCCCATTCCTCCTTGGTCCCACACAGCATCCCCGGTGAAGTGGGCAGTGAGGCCGCGCCCTCCTCAGAGCCCTCAGCAGTGCAGGCGGCCCCCCAAGTACTTACAAGGTGCGCAGCTGGGTGTGCAGCTGGGTGCCCAGGGGCCAGATGCCCGACGATCTCGGGGCAGGGGCTAGAGGGGGCCACATCCTCGGGTGACACGCGAACCGCATTTATTTGGCCGGCCTTCCACAAATGTTCAAGGCTGCTGACTGCTGGGCCCTGAGCGGGGCCCCAGGGACAGGGGTGCGCGAAACCTCTGGGCCGGTCCAAGGCCGGGCGGCGTGCGGTGCCCCCAGCGCAGAGCCTGGTGTGCCCTGGCACTCGGGGAGTATTTGCTGAATGCACGGTGGGCCCCCGGGCGGGGGTGGGGGGAGCGGGGCCCGGGCGGGAGGGGCTGCGGCCCAGAATATGAGGACTCGCCCCACCTCTTCCTGCTCGTAGCCCTCTCACCCCTCCAGCACCTCACTGCCAGCACCCTGGCCGAGGGGCTGTGGACCCGATGGCGGGGGACTTCCCTGAGGGATGGGCGCTGGACTGCGGGCCCTCGGCTCCTTCCGGTCTGGAGCCCGTTTAGCCCCGTGCAGCCTGGCCCAGGCCCGAGGTCAGCCCGCACCGCCTGGCCGGACGTGTCTCGTCCAGGGCCCTTGGGCCAGCCCTGCCCCGAGATCAGTTTAAGGCCTGGCAGGGCTGGGGAGAGCGGGGAGACATGCAGTGGGCCCGGGCCATGTGAGAGGGGCCCCCACCCACCCCTGGGGGGGCCCTGAGCTGGAAGCCCTGAGGTCAGGGGCCCCACGGGGGAGCCCAGAGCACAGTCCAGCTCAGCGGGGCCGCTTGCTGTCCAGAATGGCCTTCCAGTCGTCCGCCCACGAGTGCAGCCTGCGGCCGGGGGGCTGCAGCTGCACGTGCCGGTTGTGGCAGGCTGTGAAGAGGATGTGCTCCCAGCTGGGGTTTGGCTCGGCCCCTGTGGGCGGGAAAGCAGCGCCTCAGTCCCCGGAGGCCCCCGAGCGTCCTCAGGCAGGCTTCCCAGTCCCCGTCGGTAAAGTGGTGACTGCACCTGTCTCGACACAGGTGGCCAGGATTACGTGAGCCCGGCCATGGGAAGCACGGGGGGCGGGGGAGAGGGGGGCGGCACCCGGCGGATGCACCGCACACGGGGACTTGTGTCCCGGCCATCGTGGCGGCCACCATCAGAGGCTGAGCCCTGCTGATGCCCGGCCCTTGCCCTCCCGCAGGCTCAGTCTTCCCGCAGCTTCCCGGCTCTTCGCCGTGGGCCCCACGAGCCCTCCCTAAGCTCCCATCCCTCATCTCCGCTTCTGCGCACTGGCACTGACTCCCTGGCTCCTCCTTGCCCAGGCCTCTCCCCTGCTCCCCCGTGGCTGGACACGGAAGCTGAGCGGGGCGCTGGGGAGCTCCCCCTCCGTGTGCCCTGACTCTCCTTGTGACACCGCGTGGTCTGGGAGGTCAGGGAGGTCAGGGAGGTCAGGGGTGGGCAGACCCACGAATTCTACCCTCTGGACACTGTGATTAGTGCAGAGATGCACATGCTTCCTGAGGCAGCTCCAAAAGCCATCAGGGAAGCAATATTCTGTATTATCCCACTGAGGGGTCCAAAAGAATAGGATTTAACCCCGAAACTGCTGACGGATCCTGAGAGGAGAGAGCATGCCTGCGTACAAAGAAAAACCAGAGCAGAGCCGGGAGACAAAGCTGAATTCGGACTCATGTTGTTCGAGCTCCTAGTTCCACCATGCCTGAAGCCTTCCTAACTCACCTTTCCAAGTAGGTGTGCTGATAAATCTCCCCTCTCCTTTCTAAGCCAGTTTAAGGTTTGTGTGTGTGTGTGTGTTTGTTTGCTGGGAAGGAGTCACCTCGAAGCAAAAGGGATAAAAATACAGTTCCAAAACCACCTTCAACTAAAGAAATGATGCTTTGCTCTTCTGTTTTACATAGTAGCTTCACTCCAAATTGCTCTTGGGGGAAAAAATGGCTTTGGTGCTAAAACCAAACATTTGGAAGCCAGTCTGGCCCTCATTTTAGATGAGAAAGGCAAGGCCTCAAGGTATAAAGGGACTCATCTGAGGCCACCCCATGAGTTACTCCAGAAGCTAGGGCCTGCTTCTCCTGACTCCCAGTGGCACCCCTTCCAAGGCTGGATGCTGAGAATAACCTTGTCTTCCTGGCAGGGAAGGGGCTCAGCACTGGGCTTGAGGCTGGAGGCCTAATACACCGCTGGTGATCAAGTGGGGACCACTCAGGGCATGGGTCCTGAGGCCAGCCCCACATGCCGTTTGTCCCAGCGGCTCTCGGCTCCACACTCGCTCCTCACCTGCTGTAGGCCACTTGCCTGTGATGTCTGGCCTGTCGTCTATGAGAAGGTCGGCAGAGACCACGGTCTTGTCTGTGGCCAGCACAATGTGATCCAGAAAGTCAGAGCCAAAGTGCTTCTCCACCCAGGCATACTGGAACACAAACAGGTAGGGGGAGAAGAGAGTGCCGTCAGACCTGGGCACAGACGGAGCTGGGGCCCGGCCAGGCTTTCTCCAGGAAGAAGGGCTGCCATCAGGGAGATGAGATGATCCCACGGGCAGCAGAGAAAACAGATACTCCGGAGATGGTGTGACTTGTCCATGTCCCCACAGCTCCAATCCTGCCCATGCCTGGTCTACGCAGTCCAGCACTCATGCCATGATTGCCTTCTCTGATTCCCGTGTGCATGCACTCTGTTGGGCTCTAGGGCCAGAGGCGAAGGGGGACAGAGCTCAAGACACACTGAAGCAATTCATTAGATGCCTCCAGGGAAACTGCCCCCGAACAGCAGTCTGCAGGGCCCCTGACCTGCGCGGGGCGCGGGGTGCAGTGCGGTGCGGAGGCAGGAATGGCCCGGGGCTAATGTTTCCAGCATACCTACTCCAAAGACACTCACCACCCATCACCTTATCTAAGCCTCAAACAGCCGATGCAGCAGGCAGCATTCTCTTCATTCAGTCCCTTATGCACCCAGGGTCTACTGAGCATCCCCTAGGACCTGGGAGCCCTGGTGTGTAGCAGAGACGCTCTCATGCAGTCCACATTCTACAATGCAGGAGACACAGCACACAGACAAGCAAATTCAGGTGGAACAGGCCTGCCAAGTAATACAGCAAGGAGCTCTGACAGAAGGCAGGGAGAGAAGGCCTCTCTGAGAAGAGACATCTGCAACTGGCTGCGCAGGACGTGGCAGAACCTGGGTATTAAAGGTCTAGAAAGTTCCACACAGAATAACAAAGGCAAACGGTGCAGGGCAGGAACACACTTTGGAGTTTATCTGAGTGGCTGGAGTGCAGAAGAGAGAGAAGCAGGAGGAAAGAGAGAGGCAGGGGGCAGGCCAGGTCCCATGGGGCCTCTCAGGCCTTGGTGGAGAGAGACTCCTTGTTCTCAGTCCGCCAGGCATCTATTAGAGCTTGGTTTCACAAACTATCTATGGCGAAGGACTGGTTGTTTTCTTAATTCCCAATTTATTGTGGACCCCTCTGTCTGTAAGAGATGAAATCCATGTCTTCTGCCCATTTCTTGACTGGATTTTTTGGGTTTTGGGTGCTGAGTTTGACAAGTTCTTTTCTTCAAAGAAGACCTACAAATGGCCAACAAACACATGAAAAAATGCTCAACATCACTAGGCATCAGGGAAATGCAAATGAAAACCACCTCACACTGGTCAGAATGGCTAAAATTAACAAGTCAGGAAACGACAGATGTTGGCGAGGATGCAGAGAAAGGGGAGCCCTCCTACACTGTTGGTGGGAATGCAAATTGGTGCAGCCATTCTGGAAAACAGTATGGAGGATGCTTAAAAAGTTAAAAATAGAGCTACCCTATGACCCAGCAATTCCACAACTAGGTATTTATCCAAAGGATATAAACACAGTGATTCAAAGGGGCACCTGCACCTCAATGTTTACAGCAGCAATGTCCACAATAGCCAAAATATGGAAAGAGCCCAGATGTCCATCAACAGATGAATGGAAAAAGAAGATGTAGTATTATATATATACAATGGAATATTACTCAGCCATCAAAAACCCAAATTCTTGCCATTTGCAATGACGTGGATAGAACTAGAGGGTATTAGGCAAAGTGAAACAAGTCAGTCAGAGAAAGACAAATTCCAGATGATCTCACTCATATGTGGAATTTAAGAAACAAAACAAATGAACATAGGGGAAGAGACGGAAAAATAAAATAAGACAAAAACAGAGATGGTGGCAAATCATAAGAGACTCTTAACTCTAGAAAACAGAGTTGCTGGAAGGGAATTAGGTGGGCAGATGGGGTAACTGGGTGATGGGCAGTAAGGAGATGTAAGTGATGTGATGTGATGTAATGTAAATGATGTAATGAACATTGGGGTGTTGTATGCAACTGGTGAATCACTAAACTCTACCTCTGAAACTAATGATATACTATATGTTAATTAAATTGAATTGAAATAAAATTTTTTTTAAAAAAGATAAGAAATCCAATCATGTGTTTGGATGCTGCATCCATGTCAAATGGCCATGAAAGTTTCCACCCACATCCAAGTTCTGTGTTATGGCTTGGCTCTGGTCTTGGGCCGGCACCTGTCTGTGGACCACAAGTGCAGCAGCTCCAAACATGGGTTTCACTTAGGAAAACGACTCTAGATGTACATTTTCAAAGGGTCATGGTGGCAAATCAATGCCATACAAACAAACTGAAGCTCAGAGAGGTTCAGCGAGTGGCAGAGTCCCGTTCAACACTGGGTCTGCACCTCCAGAGCCCACACACTGGTCATTAAGAGTCCCCAGCAAGTTGTCCAAGCCATCCACAGTAAAATGGGGATAATAACAGTATCGCCTCATGGGACTCCTCTGGGGATTAAATGGGAAAATGTACATAAAAGTCTTAGCCCAGGGCCTGGCACACAGAAAGCGCTCAGTACTAGGCAGCTGGACAAAGGCTTCTAGCTTTGGGTCTTCTCTCTCCTCTCCTGTGGTTCTGATGTGTCTGAGCTGCGGGGCCGCAAACAAAATACTCAACCTTCTAAGACTCTGTCTTCACAGTGTTGTTGATGTGATTACATTAAATCTATGTCGGACACAGAGTAATGCCTGACACATAGTACTTACTCGATAAATGTCATTATGGTTAAACTTTAATAGCCCCAAATTATATGTAAAAAAGTTACTAGAACAAATACGTTTTTCAACATAGCAGGATACAGGGCACCTGGGTGGCTCAGTCGTTAAGCGTCTGCCTTCAGCTCAGGTCATGATCCCAGGGTCCTGGGATCGAGCCCCACGTCTGGCTCCCTGCTCAGCAGGAAGCCTGCTTCTCCCTCTCCTACTCCCCCTGCTTGTGTTCCCTCTCTCACTGTCTCTCTCTCTGTCAAAAAATAAATAAAATCTTTAAAAAAAATAGCAGGATACAAGGTCAATACACAAAAATCACTTGTATTTATATACATTTGGATATTGAAATGAAAGAAATAATACCTTTTACAATGGCACGAAAAATATGAAATAGGCTGACTACACACTTAGAAATAGTTCAGATGGTAAATTCTGTTACGTGTACTTTACCACAATCGTCAAACATTTATTTTTTTTAAGATTTTATTTATTTATTTTAGAGAGAAAGAGGTGTGAGCAGCGGGGAGGAGCAGAGGGAGAGGGAGATAATTTCCAGCAGACTCTGCGCTGAGCACAGAGCCCGATGTGGAGCTGGATCCCACGACCCTGAGATCATGACCTGAGCTGAAACCAAGAGTTGGATGCTTATTACCCTACTGAGCCACTCAGGTGCCCTGACAATTTTTTAAATGAAGAATAAAGCTGGAGAATTCACACTGTTTTCAAGAGTCACTATAAATGGGCACCTGGGTGGCTCAGTCAGTTAGGTGTGTCTGCCTTTGGCTCAGGTCATGGCCCTAGAGTCCCGGGATCGATCCCGCATCGGGCTCCTTGCTCAGTGGGGAGTGTGTTTCTCCTTCTCCCTCTGCTCCTCCCCCAACTTGTGTTGTCTCTCTCTCTCTGTCAAATAAATAAATAAAATCTTAAAAAAAAAAAAAGAGTTGAGATGCCTGGGTGGCTCAGTCAGTTAAGTGTCTGCCTTAGGCTCAGGTCATGATCTCAGGGTCCTGGGATGGAGTCCCACATCAGGCTCCTTGCTCAGCGGGGAGCCTGCTTCTCCCTCTGCCCCTCCCCCTGCTCGTATTCACTCTCTCTCTGTCAAAATAAATAAATAAATTCTTTTTTTTTTTTAAAAATCACTATAAAACTACAGTAACTGAGATAAAGTGGTATTCACATAAGAATAGATATTTAGATCAAAGGTACAGAATATATTTAAGAAACAGACCCAAAGGTACCAAGGTAATTCAACAGAGAAACAGGGGGCTTTCCAATAGAGGAAAAGCTGGGTACCCATAGGCCAAAAAAAGAAAAAAAAAAACAAGACATAAAACCACACACATAAAAACTTCTATTTTTAACTCCTACTGTATATAAAAATTAACTCAAAATGGACCAAAACCCAAATATAAAACCCAAAATTATAAATGCTGCTCTTCAAAAGCCACAGTTAAGAAAATGAAAAGACAAGCCACAGACTGAGAGAAAATATTTGTTATAAAACCCATTATCTGATAAAGGACTTGTTTCTAGAATAAAGATTTTTTCCCAACTCAAACTAAGACAAACAGCCCGATGAAAAATCAGTCAAAAAATGTGAACGCTTTATCAAAGAGGACAAATAAGCACATAAGAGATGCTCAACATCGTTCATCATTAGGGAAACACAAATCAAAACCACAATGAGATATCATGAGGAACCTATTAAAACAGCTGAAATAAAAAAGATGGACAATACTAAGTGTACACAAGAATGTGAAGCAACCAGACAACCCATACATTGCTGGAAGGAATGCAAGACGGGACAGCCGCTTTTAAAAATAGCTTGACAGTTACTTTAAAAGTTAAACACACCTATCATACAAACCAGCCAATCCCACCCTGGCTATCTGCCCTAGAGAAATGAAAGCACACGTCCACCCAAAGATGTGGACATGAATGTTTATAGGAACTTTATTCATAGAAGCCAAAAGCTGGGAACACCCCAAAAGTCCATCAACTGGCAAATGGATAAACAAATGATGATTACAGTCATACGGTAGAATTAGATTCAGCAATAAAAAGGAATACGCTCTTGATACATGCAGCAACGTGGACGAATCTCAAAAGTATTATGCCTTCAAATGAAAGCCAGACACAAACTATATAAGTCCCTACTATATGACACTGTGTAGGAGGCAAAAGTTTAGCCATGGAGAACACATCAGTAGTTCACTCTTACCAACAATACCCAGAGAGGGAAGACACAGAGAAAAGGGCTGACTGAAAGGGACACAAAGGCACACTATTTTTTTTTTAATTTATTTTTTAAGAGCAGTTTTAGGTTCACA